TTTGGTCACCTAGTGCTGCTCTGACAAGAATACAGCACAAATAGCATGGCCTTAACAAACAGGAGTTTATTCTTACAATTTGGAGGCTTTAAGTCTGAGTTCAAAGTGCCAAGCTCTAGGGGCTGGGTGAAAGCCCCTCAACCTTGGCTTCAGCTCTGCTTCCTGCTCCCAGCCCACTGAAGCTGGAGGCTTTTTTTCACTCAGCTGCTGGATGGTGAGGCTGACAAGCCCAAGGTTGACAAGCAAAAAGGAACAGTCCTGCTGTTACCAAATCACATGACAGGCCATTAATTTAAGTCCATTGAAAGTCTCAAGGTTGGCAGAGCATGGCAGATTGCTGAACAACAACATGGCTTTATGCAGTGTTCAAGTGTGCCATAAGCTAGAGACCATTCTCTAAGCTGCTTCTTATATACGGGAAGCAGACCATATCCCTAAGGGAGCTACTCAGCTGCTTGTGGTAGGTCCAACCATGGAGTTGATTGCCAGTCTCATCATGGGGAATAACTATCACCAACTGCCCAGCCACTCAACCAGGCCCAGCCAAGCTGACACACAAATTTAACCACTATAGTGAGTTTGGTTTTGGTTTGTTTTTTTAAATTGGCAAAGAAAAAGTAAAACTAACTCTATTTTCAGATGATGCAATCCTATACATAGAAAATATCAAAAACTCAGCTAGAAAATTACTAGAACTAATTGAAAGATTGAGGAAAATGGCAGGGTATAAGATTAACAAACAAAAATCAGTCAGCTTCCTCTGCACTAACAATGAAATCTCTGAGAAGGAAATCAGAAAAACAATACCAGTTAAAATAGCCACCCAAAACATGAAGTACTTAGGAATAAATATAACCAGAGACACAAAACACACATACAAAGAACACTATAAAACACTATTACAGGAAACCAAATGAGACCTATGTAAATTGAAGAATATACCATGTTCATGTACAGGAAGATATAATATTGTGAAATGTCGATACTAACCAAAGTGGTCTACAGATATAATGTAATCCTAATCCAGATTCTATCATTATTCTTTAAAGAAATGGAAAAACTAAACACCAACTTTGTATGGAATAGAAAGAGACTGCAAATAAGCAAAGCACCACAAAAGAAGAAAAATGTAGGAGGCCTCACACTCTCCAATCTCAAAGCCTACTATACAACCACAGTAGTAAAAACAGCCTGGTATTAGTACAATGACAGACACAGAGACCAATGGAACAGCATTGAGAACCCAGAAGTAAATCCATCCACTTATGGGCAGCTGACTTTCACAGTAGGCCAGAAACCATTAAATGAGCAAGAGATAATCTCTTTTAACAAATGGTGCTTGCAGAACTGGATCTTATTTTGCAGAAAAAGGAAATGAAATCTATACCTCTCACCATATACAAAAATTAACTCAAGATGGAGCAAGAGAAAATCTAAAACTATGAAGATAAAGAAAAAAATAGGAACAAACTTAGGAACTATATATAATTCATAACATAAACTTACATAAATAAACACAAATAAAAATGCACAAACAGAAGACAAACTAGATGACTGTGACCTTCTAAAAATTAAACATTTATGCTCATCAAAAGACATTACCAAAAGAATAAAAAGAACCTATAGACTAGGAAAAAATAAATCTGGCAATGACATGTCAGATAAGTGACTAATCTCTAAAATTAATAGAAAGCATCTCAACACCTCAACAACAAAAAGACAAGCAATCCAATTAAAAAATAATCAGAGAACATGAATAGACACTTCACCAAAGAAGACATTCAGGTGATTAACAAACATATGAAGAAATGCTCACAATCATTAACCATTACAACGATACAAATCAAAACAACAATGAGATGTCATCTCACTTCATCAAAATAGCAAAGTTCATCCAGACAAAAAACAACAAATGCTGCTTTGGGACTGCTGGTGAAACTGTAAAATGGTGCAACCACTGTGGAAGATGGTATGGCACTTCCTCAAAAAGTTGGAAATAGAAATACCATATGATCTAGCAGTCCCACTGCTAGGTATATATCCAAGGGAAACAAAAGCTGGGACATGACTGGATATATGTACACCCATGTTGCAGCATTAGGAGCTCTGGTAGCATAGTGCCTAAGGCACTTGACTGCTAACCAGGAGGCTGGCGATTCAAACCCACCAGCCACTCCTCGGAAGGAAGGTTGGGC